GAATGATTCTTATATATAATATTGAAGTTTTATTAACCAAATGGTTAGAAATTCGACTCCCTCATCTCCATCATGCATTAAATTTTATGTAGAAGCAAGTAATATAAAATTATTTTTAAACATTAAATGACAATTTTGGTTTTGGATTTGATTTTTTTATTTTATTATTATTACACCACCCCTACGTATAGGTCCCTTTCTTGCCTTCCGGTGTGCCAATGCCTTGGAAGATTCATTGGTCTCAAGGCTACAAAACTCTCAGTTACCTCCCTTCTATTTTAAATTCCTTCTTTTTAATTTGAATAGATTTTGAATTTGTATCCCTCAATGTATAAGTTACTATTTAAATATTTGGTGCTGTTGCTTTCGTTAAATAAAACATTTAAAATATTTTTCTTAATTAAAAACCATGTCCAGCAACACTATATTTTTTATTTGAAAGCAAGGCACAATTTTTATTTATTTATAAAAAATGGGTTTATTTTGTTTGTAATAAAAAGAATGCTAATTGTGTTTATCAATTAATTACAAGGTTAATGACTTAACCTATTCTTATATAATAAGTTAATTCTTTAATTTTTTTCTTATATTTCTAATTGAGTTAATTTTATTATCGAATAAACGCTGTGAATCTAATCTATCATTTTGACGAGATTTTTACATCAAATAATCGGAATTAATCACATAATTTTTACATAAATGTTTTTTATTTTTTAAAAAATATTGTTAGAATGATAGATTAGAAACTCAATGTATATTTAAGAATAAATTTAACTCAATTAGAAACATAAAGATATATATAAAAAATTCAAATAATATAAAAACGGATTGAGTGAGTTACGAATTGAAATTGAAAAGAAAAGCAAGATATTGCTTGGTTTTCAGCCCCGGTTGGGCATGCGAGAGTGGAAATGAGATATTACTTGATTTTTAGTACCATTAAAGCGATGGATGCTTGAGACTTGAAACGGAAATGGGGTAAGAATTCCTTTCTATGTGCACATCAATAATGTCACAATCACCGTTACCATATCCTTCGGTTGTTATCATCATCATCGTCACAGTCATTATCTCCACGTAATTACTATTATCTTAATCATCTCAAATTGATTTTTAATTATTACACATTTAACACCACTAAAAATTATTTTTCATTTTGTGACTCTTTTTTGAATTATTCCCCTCTCCTAATTTCTATGCCCGTCTTCAATTTTCAATATATATATTGAAAAACCATTAAAAATATATGATAAATGAATCATATCACTAAAAAATTAAAAGAACTGATGAAAAATATTAAGATGTTGTTTGGTAATCGTGAATAAAGTGATAGGAATGGGAATGCAATTTAAATTTTTTAATATCCGATTTTATATACAAATATAAATAATGATTAAAAAATAATTTTATTAAACTATAATAGATATAAAAATAATAAAGGTGATGGTAGTGATTGTAGTGGTTCTAGTGGTGGTGGTGGTGATGACGGTGATAATGATGGTTGTGATGATGTTAGTAGTGATAGTGGTTGTGGTGGTGGTGGTTGTAGTTGTGATGGTAGTGATAGTGGTGGTGGTAATGGCAATGGTGGTGGTGGTGGTGGTGATGATGATGGTGGCAAAAGTAGTTAATAGATAATAAATAAATAAAATATATTATTATTTTTTAAAAAAAAATTCATTCCCATTCCTGGTTTTTTATTCCCATATCTTATGTGGGAATGAAGTTGTATGTAAATTTTCATTCTCATTCCCACTTCATTTCTTTTAACCAAACAACTATAATGTGGGAATAAAACTTTCATTTTCATTCTCACTATTCTATTTCTGATTACCAAACAGCACCTAAAAGAAGCAATGATGATTAAGATTTGAGGTTTTTATTTGAAGATATATACTTTAAAAGAAGTGGTGCAAGATTTAGAAGGGATGACCACAAACTATTGTATGACGCAGCAATCTTGTGGATTTTTGCTAGAAAGCAATGACAGGATGGTAATGATATGAAAGACAAATATATTTTTATCTTTTTTTTTTAATAAAAATTATCTCGATTTTTTTTTTCTAGGTGTCTAATTTTATTTGGTTTGACATGAATATCCTCGAAAAGTATCCTAAATTTGTTATAAATTGTTATAGAAATATATATATAAACATCGAATAAAATCACATGGAAGGAAATTTTTTTTTTGGGTACGAAACTAGGCACTAATTTAAATTCATGTAGGCTTTTGTTAGTAATTAATTAATACTCTAGACAAGATATCCGACAGTGTTTTTTTTTTATAAAAAAAATTGTTTTCCAAAAACTCTCTTAACTATTAGATTTTTAGATTTATTAACCGGATTTATTCAAATTCATTCAATAACCAAGAATTTTAGAAAAAATCTTCCTGTAAATTAACTTGAGTTGAGAATATATCCCAAAGGACAGCGAAATGGAAAATTGTCATAAATAAATAGTACAATGGAAAGGAGACCTCAATTAGTAAAAAAATAAAAATAAAAATAGATTAAATTATAAATTAATTCCTCTAGTTTTTGGAAAAAAATTAAATAATTCCTCTAGTTTCAATAAATAATTAATCAGTTCTTATGTTTAAATCTATATGTAACTTAATAATTTTCATTACTTTTCAAATTATTTTTTTAATAACAAAAAAAATAAGTAAAAAGTATATATATATATATATATATATATATAATGAGACAAAAAATGATATTTTTGAAATAAAATAATATTAAATTAATCATGTTTAACACTGGTGTAGGAGTTAATCAATTATTTTGGGAAACAAAAGGACTATTTAGTTCGTTTTGGAAACCTAGAAGGACTAATCTATAATTTACTAATGCAAAAATATTAATTACTTTAAAAAGTTACAGAAAACAATCCACAAGGATAACCCACCCCATCTCTATCCACATATTTCTGAAGAAGGAAACAATGGGCCCTACTAAATTCGGTTTGGTGCGGCGGTGGTAGAGCAGTGCACTTTCTGATCTAACCACTTCCTGCACCAACTACTTTTCAAAGTCTGCATGACACGTGGCGGCGGTGCGGTGGTGTAGCGGTGCTGCACCTTTCTACCACTTTCTTTCTTTCCAGGGGAAGATACTAGATAGGATCTCCCTCCCAATGGATCATGTTTTAACTGTGTTCTGTAATTAGGATTATTGGTATTTCAATAGATATTAATGATATTTTTTTTATAGATAGCTCTTATTACATAAAACCAAAAAGATTGATTCGATGATTAAGAATTTTGTCTGTTTTTTTTTTTAAAAATTTTTTTGAATACAAATCGTAAAATTAATATCTAAAAACATGTATTTGTCTAAATATAGTGACGTAATAGACGCTAGATCCTTGAAATTTTTGGAAAAAAAAAATTAATTTCATTAGTATCAAACTAGTTCGAGAATACTTAATAAATTGATATCAAGATTCTATATATTTAATTTTTATTATGTTTCATTAAAAAAATTTAAAAATCAGTATTTCTTGAGATTGTTGAGAAAAAGAAAGAAAAACTTAATTTAAATTAACACGAAGGCAGTTCAAAAAAATCAAATAAATTGATATCAAAATCCTATATATTTAATTTTATTATGTGTCATCGTAAAATCTAAAAAAATGATTTGATAATTTAATGAAATTTTGCTCAATTTCTTAAATTTTTAAAATTCGAGTTCTGAGTTTAAAATTTAGAAAAATATATTACTTTGAATGTATGGTATTATAGTGAATATGCCTTCTTGTCGAATAGATTTAATCTCAATTAATTTAAAATTGATTCAAAAATGCATAATAAATTGATATCAAGATATCACTTGAATTATTATTATTATTATTATTATTATTATTAAATGTAACATGCAAGGAAGAATGAAATTAAAATTTGAAAATAAAGTTCTACCAATTGGACAACTACATTATAACATTTTATTTTTTATTTTTTTAATAATAGTTAGAGAATTGTAATATCAACTTTTGCATATTGAAATAAAAATTCTATTCCAATGAAATTTTAAAAACTATATATTATACGGTCAATATATTTGTGATAATTTTTTACGATATTTTATTTACGATCTTTAATTATGTTCGAATCCAAATGATAATGTGAAATTGAAAATTAACAAATAATAATAATAATAATAAAATATTTCAATAATTGTAATATCCCATGGACGGGGAACTATTTTAGATGCATAGACTTTGGTGCGAAGTCTGCCGCTACAAATACTCCAAAATCAGGCAGCCATGTTTAACACACACACACACACACAGAGGCAAGCACTCGCTCCCTCTCTCTCTCTCTCTCTGCAATTTGCTCAAAAACAAAAAATAAATCTGCATTTTCTTAAACAGTGACCTGTTAATATAAAATAAATTTTGCTACACTCTTAAATCTTTCTCTCACTCATTGATCTCTGAATTTTAGAGCTTTACGCCAGGTACAATCTGCCAAGTATTTTTTTTTAGCTTTTTAATGGATATAGTATTTGTTGTTTGATTGATCAAATCTAAAATCTACAGTTTTTGTAATTAATTGAATTTATTTATTTTTGTTGTATCGAATGTTCATTGAGTGATCTTTGTTTTGGGTGGAGTAAAAACGGGAAAAAGAGTGACCTTTTGGTGTAATTTTGATGATTCTTGATGTTTAATGTGATGGGGTGGATTGATGTTTTTGTGGTGTGTAAGGAAGAGTGAGTAGCAGTGATGCTGACACTTTTGTTGGGATGTTTTCATGATTGGTCTTTTCCAGCCTTTTTAAGAGCTATGTCTACGGAACTTAGTAATTGGTTTTAGAGAATGAAATGATTGATTTGGTTGCCCTTTGATGATATGGAATGAAAGATTCTATCTTTATGTAAAAAGTGGGATTCTTTCATGTTATGAAGTGGGATTAGTGCACAAAGTGGGAAAAGGGAAAATTAATTGAGAATAATGGGTTCTTTTTTTTTTTTTTTTTTTTTTTGTAGGTATTGTTCATGGATTCTAAGTCAGTCGAGGATATGATAGAGGCATCATCAGGGGTTCATTTTTCTGGGTTTCATATGGATGGTTTGGAGCCGAGAAATACAGAGGTGGCGCAACCGACGATGTCGGCAGCTGAAGAGATGCATAAGCAACCCTTTGTTATTGGTGAGTCACTAGCTGTTCTTTTTGTCAATTTTGTATTTAGCTGGAAGGCAGTAGCTTTTTAAAATCTTTGATATAGGTTGTCATTGAATTGTTAATGATTGGTAGATATGAGAGTGGTTCTGTTCTTGCTGTTTTATGAGATCAATCATTAGTATGTACCAACTAGCAATGGTTGCAGAAATTCAGGATGTATGATTATGCAACGATCAAGTCATGCCCTTTCATCAAAATAAAATTTTGAATATCTTTCACTGGTATTATATTTTGGCATGCTCACAGAGACGGTGAGAAGAGAATAGATAGGAGAAAGATCATGAAGAATTACATTTATTTACTATCAGCTCAAAAGACATGTTTTATGCCTAGGTGCATGCAGACTGCCTTATATGAACATCCATAATGCCATTATCAAAGCGTTTTTGTGTTGACTTGGCAGAACATCGCACTTGATATATACCTTGTTTCCATTAGATACTTCTAACTATATTACTCTTACCTCTCAATTGAATATTTTAAATAGTATTTATCTGCTTGCTCTAACCAGAAAATGAGAACAGCAGAGGATACACAGGTATGGTGAGCGGAGCATAAACATTCGAAGTGTGAAAAAATGAGTCTTTATGTGGGTAATGAAATCGGAATTGTCTAAACCTAGGAAGGTTGATAACAGGAATGCTAAACGAATGGAGTAATCTTGTAACAAGTTTTGCTCTTAAAAATTACCCAGTTGGCAAAGAAATTGGTGAAGTTGGTTTTGGTTTTAGATTTTAGGCTTAGATTTGGTGGAATTAAATTAAATTAGGAGGAATGGTGAGAGTTACTGGATCTGTACTTGCTGTTGGTGCATTGGTTTCTTGTAATTTTTTTTTTCATGGATCTGTTTATGCCCTTTTTATTTGTTTAAGATTTTTTTTTCTTGAAATGTGCCAGTTTTACTATTTTGTGTTATAGGTGTTGCTGGTGGAGCGGCTTCTGGGAAGACTACAGTTTGTGATATGATTATTCAACAGCTTCATGATCAGCGCGTGGTACTTGTTAACCAGGTAACGACTTCGTGATTCTGAATAAGTTTTGGAAATCTGAGTACTGAATTTTTTTTCATTAATAAAATTTGATAGCTTTCAGAGTTACAAAATACAGCCGTTGGGGGGATAAAAGCAATTGACAGGCACGAAGTTCTTTGAACTCCATTAACTATGCCCCTTTTTGTAATTTTTAGCTTTACAGTCTGATTTTTCTGATTATGTTCATCTTTAATGGGTATCGGGTTATCTCTTTTAGAAAGGTATGATGAACTTGCTAAAGAAACATAATTTTAAACGCTGAGCTCTTAGTCATAAAAGTTTGGTGCTGTTATAAGGATTGATTCACTATACAAATAAATACTGTTCATGGATGACATGGCAGGATTCTTTTTATCACGATCTGACTGAAGAGGAACTTACGAGAGTTCATGAGTACAATTTTGACCATCCTGGTGAGTAGACTTTTCTAAGATGTATTTTGCTATTTGAGAGATCTTGGATATAATGAGTAGTGTGTATTTCCGCTTGCAATGCTGTTAACCAAAATAAGCATGCCCTTCTACTTGATTCTTGGGGGAAAAAAGAAGAAAACTACACCCACTAAAGCCAGAAAAATGCTTTGCTAACAAATGTGTTTAAATTTTGACTGTTTCTTTTTATTACGTCATGCTTTGAACTTCCTGCTTTCTCTTATCATTTTCTAAATCATGAACATACTGTAATGTACATCTGTAGCGAAGTCATTTGAAGACATAACTCTTGCCAAGGTTTTTTAGATGGTGGGAGTAATTTTCTTGCATGGTGAATGCTATACTGTCCTGTTTCTTAGCAAAATATCTCTCTTTTTGTCAGATGCATTTAACACTGAGAAACTATTATGTGCTATGGAGAATTTGAGGCATGGGCAAGCAGTAGATATTCCGAACTATGACTTCAAGAGTTACAAAAACAATGTTTTTCCTCATAGAAGGGTACAGTTTTCCTATGGTCCCCTTGTCTTGTAACTGATAACTCTCCTTGATTTATGCCAAATCCTGTTGTAGATATTCATAATTCTAAACTGGCTATGTGGAACTTTGGTTCTGTTCTATCATAACAAGTGTTCAGAATTTTATAGGATTTTTGCATAGTATTTACTTGAAGGCTTTGTTTTCTATATGGAAATATATTTTCCAGGGGAAATTATTTAGTGAGGGTAAAATTGTTAGATTGTGACCATAAGGTTGCAAGAGGACTTATGAGAGTAGCTGTTTTATGCAAATATGTTGAAGGTAGGACTCTGAAATCCTCCCTTCTTGGAGTCTGGCACACTGCTAGGCGGGACCTTAATTGGATAGTGCCAAATGTATTTCTTGGTTCTATGTTCACATGCTACTTTACTTGTAAAATTCTTAAGGTAGAATAAGATTGTTAGTGAATCCGTGAATTTACTTGTATCTAAATTGTGGGTTTTGCCCTGTGTTGTTTTGTGTTCTGAGGCATATATGGTCCAATATGGAAATTTATGGTACAAAGTCAACATGATCTAGCTCAAAAGATAATGGAATTTATATTTCTAGGCCAAAAAGAAAAAAAAAAGGCAAAAAACTAAAGGGAACAGTACCATATTATGATTGTATTATACTACATTGCATAATTAGATTCTTTCTTTTCTTTGTCTTAATGGAGCTCGTGTTTGAATTTGGGGAACTATTAATTCAATCAAAAGATGAAGTGAAATTTCAGTATTATCTGTTTCTATTTTCCACATTAATAATTGTGGTCTTTTTGTCAGTGGCCAGGGTGTACTGGTGTGAGTTTGATGCCTAACTTCATATTAATCATTGGTGGACAAATGTTTCCTTCTATGTTTCAGCTGTACATGCCATGTTACACTTACCAGTACACTACCATAACCACACTGAAATTTCTCTACTTAGTACATTTGAATACTTCTTCCATGATGTCTTTGTACAACAACATTGTCATCCATCACTCATCTCTGATTGGGTGGCTGGACTTATGGAATGTAAATCTCATGTTTGATTCTTCAACGTGCATAACATTCTGAACTCTCATTGCTACAAATATTTTGCAGGTCAATCCTTCGGATGTTATAATATTGGAAGGCATTCTTATTTTCCATGATCCTCGCGTTCGGGAGTTGATGAACATGAAGATATTTGTTGATACAGGTTATTTAGTTTTCTATCTATCCATTCACTTTGGCATCACTGTGTATAACCTATAGGGGTACATTGTTGGAAGATGTGAGACCTCATAAAATGTATCTACTGCTTTTGTGGCATGTCATATTTTAGTTGTAGCTTTCTGAGGAATGTCACAATCCTTACCTTGCTGGATGGATCATTGAAATCTTTTATCGGCAACAGACCCTTTTCAGCATCTCAGATTATCTCAAGTATCAAGTAGTTTTTTGCTTTAACAAAATGTTTACACGTTCCTGACTTTCTGCATTCCCCCCATGCCAAACAATAACAATTTTGTTGTTTCAGTTCCTCAACATGTTTTTTGCCATTTTTCTTTTCATTTTGTTTTAGAACCAGTAGGTTATGATGTTCGTTGTAAAATGATTGAATATACTGCAGAAATGTATCTTATTTGTCGCTACATTGCATTAGTAAGTAGCACTATTACTTGACATTGTTCAATTTTCAGTGCAGATGCTGATGTACGTCTGGCAAGGAGAATAAGGCGTGATACTGTTGAGAAGGGTAGAGATATTGCTACAGTACTTGATCAGGTTAGTGACTTTTATTTCATAGGTTTGAATCTTGAACTAAGGGAAACCAAAAAGTTGGATTTTTCTTTCTTTTCTTGCATTTTTCTCTACTGTTTTATAGAAAGCAATATCTTGGAAATCTAAAGTTTCTCTTCTTTTTTGTTGTTTGGTCATTAAATGTGGTGAGAAAAAAACAAGGGAAAATTGAAGCAGAACTACTTAGATTTACCGCCTGCCCCAAATCAATTTCTTCAGCTTAGAACACCTGAGGGTTGGAGAAGAGAGAGAGGAAGTGATCTCCTACTTCTTCCCTTTGTTCTTTCCATTGCTTTTTTCTTAATTTCTACTCAAGCTATCCCAAAATGATTGTCGTTCTTCCTTTTTCACTTTTAGCATGTTAAAAAGTGAGTCTGTGTAATCTCACCTTTAGTTTGTCAACTACATCTTTAAAGAAAAAGTCCAGTTTCCTTTTCATTCACTATTAACTTTGGAATGTTAACTACAACACATGAGATTTTATGTATCCTTGTTATTTTTGACACTATGAATTATGATACTTATTTAGCGATCAAGGGAATCTTAAAGGAAGCAAACCAATTGAAAGCCTAATGCACATGAGCTAGTTTTCATTTCTTCTATTAGGCTAACATGTTGTGTGAGCTTCCTTTAGTGGGAATTAACAGAATTATTTTGATGCAGTACTCAAAATTTGTAAAGCCTGCTTTTGATGACTTCATACTCCCAACAAAGAAGTATGCTGACATCATCATTCCTCGTGGAGGAGATAATCATGTAGCTGTTGATTTGATTGTGCAACATATTCGTACGAAGCTGGGCCAACATGATATGTGTAAAATATATCCCAATTTATATGTCATTCAATCAACTTTTCAGGTATGGCATCCTACTCACTAATCTAACCTAACAATAGGATATGCATTCTAATGTAGATCTACATTAATCCTGATTAAGAAGCATGTCTTACCAGCTTTTCTTGTTCTGTGTACCTTCTTGTTGTTTGCTTCTTTGCTTATTTAGATCATTGACTGTCTCATGCAGATACGTGGTATGCATACCCTAATACGTGATTCTCAAACAACAAAACATGACTTTGTTTTTTATGCTGATAGGTTGATTCGTTTGGTGGGTTTGTGTTTTCTTCATTAGTTTGTTTGAAGTTGTTCTTTTTTCTTGAGAGTTGATATAGTGGCTGTTTCTTTTATTCAGTTTGTTCACTCATCCAATCTCTTGTTACGTTTGCCAGGTTGTTGAACATGGTCTAGGGCATCTACCATTTACAGAAAAGCAGGTGACCACTCCCACTGGTAAGCTGATGTCACTCAATATTCTGAGAATCTTTAGGCTATCCAGGTCTTGATTTCTTGTTTACATTTACCTGGTATTTATTTTGGCAATGAGTGATGAAAACTTGGAGAAATATTTATGCTTTTTCTACAAATAAAAAGTTCTGTACTTTCTCTTTAATGGATGACTATAACATGGATGATGTGCATGTTGGCACCCTGGTAACAGAACTTATCTTGCTTGTGATGCTATGTTTATAGTTGCGAGATTAGGCAAATGACTTATTCCGACTTATTTCATACTTTTAAGTGAGGGTCCATATTTCTCGTCTGAGCTGTTTGTTTTTTAGTTTTGTAACTTTAACTGTTCTGATCTTACTTTTCACCACATTTTTTTTCCTGTGTGATACAGGGTCTGTTTACACCGGTGTGGATTTCTGTAAGAGGTTATGTGGTGTCTCTGTTATTAGGAGGTACTTGTACGATCTCAATTTATGAAGCAGGGGATTGATTTGTTCCATTGTCTGTTTAACATTTTGATTTACTAGTATGTTATATTCCCTTGCATCTTCTGTCACCAGCTACAGATGAGATTGAGTTCTGCGGGCAACGTCAATAAGTTGGCTGTAGTATCTTTCTTCCTGCATGATTGATACCAACTGCAGTCTTAGTGAAGTTCCTCTCCATATATTATTATGCAAGAGCACTATGAAACCAACTCATTAGCTAGATTGTGTTAGGTTCTCATGTTCAATGTGGCGATCACATGAATGGGCAGCTTCATGATTGATTGATTGTTCTTGTTTCTTGATTAGAGGAAGAGAATTAGGAACTGAATTGGAATCAGGAGCCTCAATAATGAATTTCTTATTGTTTACAATTTATGAACTTTTCCTGCATCTTTCCCAATGGCATGACGAACAGCTAAATATTTTCTCTTACATTGACACCAGTGGCGAGAGTATGGAGAATGCTCTACGAGCATGCTGTAAAGGCATCAAGATTGGGAAGATTCTTATTCATAGGGAAGGCGATAATGGTCAGCAGGTTTGTAAACGCCCCTCTCGTTGTTTTCAAGCAAGTGTTTGATTGATATCTGTATGTGTCATACAATCACTGAGTTCTGACTATTCTCTCAACATGTCAATGCTTTGGCAGCTAATCTATGAAAAGTTGCCTCAAGACATCTCAGATAGACATGTGTTGCTATTGGATCCCATTCTAGGGACAGGTTTGTGTTTCACTATAGATTTTTTATTTTGAATGCGTTAGTAATGATAAAAGTTTTACCACCTTCAAGGACTCAAAAATAAATCTTTTCTTTTTTCCCTTTGTAACTTGTTGAAGAATCCCTTACTCTTCTCAAACTTGTATACAACATGCTACTCATGTCTTAAATTGCTACTGACTTACGGCTGAAAAGATAATAGTTTCTCTACTCAATTGCAAGTTTGAATTTGAACGCAAAGGAAAATTACCTGAGTGAGTGTATCACTTGCTCCACTTATTGGTATTTACATGACTTTCTACCTTTTGTTTAGGCAATTCAGCTGTTCAGGCTATTTCTTTACTTATTAGCAAGGGCGTGCCAGAATCCAACATCATATTTCTTAATCTCATATCTGTAAGCGAGTTCTGCCTGCTCGATTTTTTTGTTTCATTTTTACCCTACTTGTCACAAGACATTATATTTGGACTTTCCTGTTTACAAATATGCTATCTATTTCCACCAGGCGCCTCAGGGAGTGCATGTGGTCTGCAAAAGATTCCCAAGAATTAAGATTGTAACGTCTGAGATAGAAATTGGTTTGAATGAAGATTTCCGTGTCATACCAGGCATGGGTGAGTTTGGAGATAGATATTTCGGTACAGATGACGACGACCAACTAGTGGTGGCCGCTACACAATAGAGATATCAAGAGCTGTGCTGATTAATCTGCAAAGAATTGGAGGCGAGCAGTGGAAACTGCCGGACTCTTTTACCTGCTGAGTTGTGCAATTTCAGTTTTCAACAAATTTTGACTCAAATTAAACCTGTAGTTCCTTCTTTCATTTCTATTGTTTTCAAACTTTGAATCACACAGAGGAGGTTTGATTCTCTGTTACCTATTTCTGTGTGCAGAGAGTTTTGTTAGGAAAAAAAAAAAAAAAAAAAAAGAGTGCAAACAATCCATTATCAAAATGTTACTTGGTTATTGCATGGCTAGAGGATGGTGATTTCAGGCACCTACTTGGAACTTGATGGTGACAGCCTCCCCATGATATATGTACCTGTGAACCCAGATATTTTATTTCATATATGGTGATAAAATTTTATGGTGAACCATTTTTTTGGTTCTACCAGAGTTTGAATATCTTAGCTTGATTTCTTTACTATTATTGTGGAATGCATATTTTCTCGTTCTGGCTACATTTTCCCCTTTGTTTTCTTCTCCTCTACTATAATAGGGCATTTTTAAGAAAAAAAAAGATGTCAGCATCAATCTCTTCAAATTTTGGAGGGAGCAAAGCTGCAGATGAGGGAAAAGCTTTTCCACACAATGGTTTTAGGGTTCACGAGCTGAGATATAATAAAAAAGAAAAGCCACTCGGCCGAGAGAGTGATCACTCATTGCTTTATCCAAGGATGATAATCTGTGTTGGGCTGATCTCTTGACACGTGTTGACATTTGTAGGGTGGATTTCTTTCGGTATATTCTATTGAACATGATCTATATAGAGTGGTGCTTGTGAAAGTTTGTTTTTGCATTTTCGTCTTGTATCTATTTATCTTTCCTTATCCAATATCTATACTAGGAAAAGCTTTAGCCATGTCGGCCTTTGTTGGAAAGTATGCAGGTATTGCACCTCTCTCTCTCTCTCTCTCTCTCTCTCTCTCTCTCGTCTCTGGCCAACTTTTTGAACTCCATGAAGCTCATGTTGAGCACTCAAGTTCACTTGAAAGCATCATTTTTTACCATGAATTCATGACCATTGAAAACTAGAGACCTCCACAGAATACAACTTCTTTCTCCTTTGCACCTATATATGCATATTCATCTCATTTTAGCTGGTTACCAAGGAGAGGCTCAAATGCGAGACCTCTTTGGAGATGAGGATATGCATTGATTAATTGGTGGCAACGAGTCATAGTGTATGGTCTAAAACATTCTCTGCTCTAAATGTATGCATGCACATCAATTTAAGCTTCAAATAGTAATGCAAAGCTTATCAGATCAAGCCATATATAGCTTCTAAGGTTACTGGTTTTTGACTTTTTTCCATTACGTTACTGCAGATGAGCTGATCAAGACTGCAAAGTACATTGCCACACCAGGGAAGGGCATTTTGGCTGCAGATGAGAGCACAGGCACCATTGGCAAGCGTTTATCAAGCATAAATGTTGAGAATATCGAGTCCAACCGCCAAGCCCTGCGCGAACTCCTCTTCACATCCAGCAAAGCCCTGCCTTACCTCTCTGGTGTTATCCTCTTTGAAGAGACCCTCTACCAGAAAACCTCTGATGGGAAACCATTTGTTGACCTCCTCAATGAAAACAATGTTATTCCTGGAATCAAAGTTGACAAGGGTGTAGTTGAATTAGCCGGGACTAATGGTGAAACTACAACCCAAGGCCTTGATTCACTAGGAGCTCGCTGCCAGCAATACTACAAGGCCGGCGCACGATTCGCCAAGTGGCGTGCTGTCCTCAAGATTGGCCTAACCGAGCCATCTGAATTGTCAATCCAGCAGAATGCTCAAGGGTTGGCTCGTTACGCAATCATTTGTCAGGAGAATGGTCTGGTGCCTATTGTGGAGCCTGAGATTTTGACCGATGGAGCTCATGACATTAAGAAATGTGCTGCTGCAACCGAGACTGTGCTTGCAGCTGTTTACAAGGCATTGAATGATCAGCATGTTCTTCTCGAAGGCACGCTTCTCAAGCCTAACATGGTCACTCCAGGTTCTGATAGCCCAAAGGTATCAAAACATCAACATCAATGCTTAATCTAATTAAATTTTTCACACTTGTCTCAATCAATCTCCAAAGGTTTAACTTGATTCTACACAGGTAGCACCTGAGGTGATTGCTGAGTACACAGTGACGGCGCTACGCAGAACTGTTCCGCCAGCAGTGCCAGGCATTGTGTTCTTGTCTGGGGGGCAAAGCGAGGAGGAAGCAACACTGAACCTCGATGCAATGAATAAGCTTAAGGTGTTGAAACCATGGACTCTATCGTTCTCTTTCGGCCGAGCACTGCAAAAAAGCACACTCAAAACATGGGCTGGAAAGAAGGAGAACGTTGAGAAAGCTCAAGAGGTGTTCTTAGTTAGGGGCAAGGCCAATTCAGAGGCAACTCTTGGCAAGTATGGTGGAGGAGGTGCTGGTGGGTTGGCTTCAGAGAGCTTGTATGAGAAGGGTTACAAGTACTAGGCTTCTCTTTGTTCATGGGGTTGGTGATTTTATATGTAATTTACAACTTGTGTTTTCCTTCCTTACAATGCTAATTAATTAATTAACTAATTGCTTTTTATATATACACACCACAATATTCATAAACAATTTATCTTTAAGAAATATATATATATATATAATTTCTATTCATGTTAATGGTTGTTTTGAGTTTGCCAAATAGGGTTGAAAGTATTTTGACTTTTTTTTTTTTTGGGGCAAAATGCTTATAACTAAGATATGTAATTAAGAAAATTTATTAGTAAAAATAAAATAAATAATGATTAAATTAATTAATGCAAAATAACCTTCTTTTTTTATAATAATTTTATCATTATTTGTTTTTACGATGGTGTGAATGTCACATTGCAAATAATCCATACAATGTGAGAAAAAAATAAATAAAAATCGTTTCATTTTAAAATACTAATGAATTAATGAATACTTTTTATTTGGCCAATTAACTTTTTCGTTGGAGATTTTAATGCAACTAGGTGTTTTTATATTAACAAAAAAAGAAAAAGAAAAGAAAAGAAAAGATAATCAATTTTATTTTTTGGCCAAAAATATTTCCTCCATGATTTTCAAGCATCCCTTTCACCCTTCTTATTGCATAAAATAATAATAATAATAATAATAATATGTGAAGTATATGGATCTCACTAATAAAAAAGAAAGCATATTGTCATCCATGCTTCAAGGTATCCTCTAAATTTTATCTTTAAAAAAATCTGTCTTTATGCTCGTTAACTTAATATATATATATATATATATATATATATATATATATATATATATATATATATATATATATATAATCTTTTACTTTTACTTTTGAACAAATCAAATATAATCTTTTACTTTTACTTTTGAACAAATCAAATAATAATTTATTATGAATTTTTTTTCTTTATATTAATTTTTGAAAAAGTATAGAGTTATAATTTAATATTCCTTTTAATATTTTTTTCTTCAATGGTTAGCCTACTAATGAAATCATTTGTTTTAATTAGATTTGTACATAATATAAAATAAAAATAAAAATGAAAGGGATTTCCACCATGTCAACTTCTTTGAAACTAGCTACCATGTGGACACTAAAACCTCTTTTGAGAAGGACATTAAACGTCTTTAATGCAACCTCTTTAATGTAATTAAGCAAAATAATAATATATATATATAAGTTGACGTGAAATTAAGGTCTATGTGCATTTCAATTTAAGAAAAAAAATTATTTACAATTTTTAAAAATCATTTTTTTTTAATTCTCTCTCGTATAATTCATTTCTGAACTAAAATGTAAGTATATTTTTCAAAAAAAAAAAAAAAAAAAAAGCAATAGTTTCCAATTCTTCATCCCAATCTTTATTTTTTTCTATATAAAGAAGAAAAAGAAGCTAATTAACCATTAATTTGTTACCATTGGTCCCTTATATTCCTTTTTCAGCGGGCTAGCTCGAATAAAGTGAGTAAATTATAAATTAGTCCCTCTCACTTCAAAAAAGGAATTAATTAGCACCTATAGTTTCAAAAAATAATTATTTAGTCCTTTTTTAATTTATTTTTATTTTTTAAGAAATAGAAAAGGAATAAAAATATAAAAATATTGATGACAAAATTTTTTTATAAAATAAAAAAAATTAAATCAATCATGGTCAACAGTAGTTGAAAAGATTAAATAATTAAAGTTTAAAACTAGAAAGATTAGTTAATTCATTTTTCAAAACAAGAGGGACTAATTTATAATTTACTCCGAATAAAGACCGTAAGATGAGGGAAATCTTCCTATGTAAACTGAAAAGGCAAAACTTGGCAAAAAAGTATTCTTCTTCTTTATTCTTCAGCATAGGAAAGTTATCAAACCAGGAAAAAATCTCTAACTTCTTTTTCGTTTTCTGAGAAATAGGCAAATTTTTAACCTTGCCGAACTAAACAAGCTTTTTCCTAGCCCTAGTACGTTCTCTGTATATATAGCATATTGTGACACTCAAACACACACAGTTTTGCTGTGCTCTAGCTAGTGAAGAAGCTGTGCGTCAATGGAAGCCATGAATATTGCTCTCTGGGTCGAAAGATTTGCTTTCTGTTTGTTATTGTTCAGTACCAAGTTTGGAAGTTATGGTCTTCTTCTCTTGGTTTTATCCAATTTCTTGTACTATAAGTCTGCCATGGTAGGAAAAGCTAAAACAGCAAAGTTGAAGCGCGACAGAAGTCTCAGGAATTCTGACTCTAGGGTTAGTTCTCTTTCCATGCAAGCATGATTCTCAGATATTTCTTTCTCAATATATATTCATTGATTTGTTTGTTTGTTTGTTTTTCCTGTAAATATGCAACAATATATATGTTAGTGACTGTTTAATTTTTGCAGTACTTAAAGTTTGGAGTGATTTAATTACTTCTATACTCATGAAATTCGATTGAATTCAATAATCAAAGAGTGATTAATGGGTTGGTTTCCAAGTTTTAGGAACTAAATTTTTCTCTGCTGTTATGGCTCAGATTCGCTTTTTCTTCAAAAGCTTCAGGAAAGGAATTTAGAAAACTCCAGGTCCAGATGGGCCAATCTTTTATCAGACAAGAATAGCTCCATTACTGCTCGAATATGAGCTACTGAACTTTTAATGTGTGTTCTTTAAGATAAAAAAACCATAATGTATTTTATCACGACAAAAGTTTAAGAGTAATTATGCGTTTAGGAATCTCTGAGTTGAAGAACAAAATTTTAACAGCAATTGTGTTGATGGTTAATTACTTGTGTTTCCATTTACTAACAAATATTTATATTTACAATCACTAGACCGATATAGAGGAAGATGATCACGTCAAGAGCAGCAGCCCCAACGAAGGAGAGAATGCAGCAGATGAGGATCAAGGGAACAACAAAGCTACCTCTCGTGAAGAAGGAGAGGATTCAATCATGAAGTCTACTCTTCTGGAAATCTTGAAGAAAGCTACAAATGCTTGTAATGCAGAGAATATTTCGTATTGGCATGAAATATTGGTGAAGAAAATGGAAGATGAACTCAAGGAGTACAGAGCAGTTCGTGATGAAGAGTTGAGGAAAGCAAAAGAAACATGCGAAGAAGAATTCAAGAACAAGCTGAAAATCATGGAGGAAAAGTTAGAGGCCAAGTTTGATGAGGATAGGCGCAATTGGGAGAAGGAGAGAAGGATTCTGAAAGAGAAATATGAGATGATGCGATGGACATAAGCAGCAGCAGGAAGTTGAAAAGATTTCATGCCAAATTGTATTTTCTTCTTGCTCTAGGAAAGGCTGCATAATTGCAGATTAGGAAAATTTTCCCTCGAACTAATTTTATTTTCAAGCAAATTAAGATATTATTGTTCAGAACTTTTGGCTATATTTTTTGAAATTAAGTAGAATTTTTATTCCTAATGAGTGTTTTACAACATCGTTTTATATATGATGGAGTAAGTTATGAATTAGTTCGATTCGAAAAACAAATTAATTAATTCTTTTCGTTTCAAAAAAATTTATTTAGGTTATTTTAATCCGAATTAATCAAATTTAATTTAATATTATTTTTGTTTTATAAAATATTTTTTTTGTTAATCTTTTGTATTTTTTTTATTGTTAAAACAAAAAATAAAAAATTAAGTTACAAATATATTTAAAAATATAAAATTAAATAATTAATTTTTAAATTGAGAATTTTTTTTCTTTAACATAAGAGGGGCTGATTTATAATTTTTAAATCAGAGTTAATCAAATTTAATTTAATATTATTTTTGTTTTATAAAATATTTTTTTCGTTAATCTTTTATAATCTTTTATTTTTTTTAAAAAATAAAATAAAAATTAAGTTACAAATATATTTAAAAATATAAAATTAAATGATTAATTTTTAAAAAGAGAAAAATTAATTATTTTTTTCAACATATGAGGGGCTGATTTATAATTTACTCTATATCATGTGCTGGCTCCATTAATTCGTTTTTTTGACATGTACAATTGAATTTTAATTTTAGGACTTGTTAATTGTTTCGTGCTGATATAGAAAATAATTTAAAATATTAAAAAATAAAAAATAAAAAATATTGTGAAAAAGATTGATGATGTAAAATAAAATTATTATATTATATTAAACGTGGATGATATAATTAAATAATTAATTTTTGATTAAAAAAATTAATTGATTTATTTCTTAAAACTAAAGGAAATAATCTATAATTTGCTCTATATCACATACTTTTTTTAAATCACAATTTATGTATGTTCCTTTTCTTCTTATTATTTGTTTTAGAAAATTTTTTTTACAGTGATATCGAATTCCAATCTGGATTAAAAAACACACACTTTTTTGCTTAATTATTTAAGACAAAAATATCAAATTTTAGTAATAAGTAAATAAATAAAACGAAATATATTCTGAAAAAAAAATACAAATTGAAAAGATGTAGCAAAAACGGTGCGTTTTAGTCCTTTCTCACCATCTATTTATATCGTCTCAGTATGCGTTTTCTCTCTCTAGAAGCCTCTGCATCTTTTCTCTGTTCTTCAGCTATGTCTTCCGCTTCAATCTCCACTTCTCTTCGCATGTTGACCACAAAAGTCCCAAAATCTCTTCACTCAACTGAAACCTTAATTTCCTCCTTAAAACCCACAAATTTTTCCTTCTTTAGTTTCTCAAAACCTATTTCTTTCCAAAAATCCCAACAAAGACTCAACCTTTACGGGCATCATCAAGCTCTATGTCTTTGCAACCCATTGAAGAACTCCCTCCAAAGCTTCAAGAGATCGTCAAGCTTTTTCAATCTGTTCAAGAACCAAAAGCTAAGTATGAGCAGTTACTTTTTTATGGCAAGAATTTGAAACCACTTGATAGTGAGTTTAAAACTAGGGAGAATAAAGTTGAAGGTTGTGTTTCTCAAGTTTGGGTTAGGGCTTATTTGGATTTGGAGAAGAATGTTGTGTTTGAAGCTGATTCTGATTCTGTATTAACTAAGGGTCTCGCTGCTTTGCTTGTTCAAGGGCTTTCGGGCCGGCCTGTTGAGGAGGTTTTGAGGGTTTCTCCTGATTTTGCTGTGCTTCTTGGTTTGCAACAGAGTTTAACACCTTCTAGGAATAATGGGTTCTTGAATATGTTGAAGTTGATGCAAAAGAAAGCACTTGAGTTGTATATGGAGGCTGAAAAGGGAAGTGGGATTGTTGGAAGTTCGAAGCTTGGTGGTGGTAATGGCGAGGTTGAGGGGAAGATCGAAAGTTTGGGCTCAAATGGCGATGTTGGTGTTGAAAGTTCTGGTGACAATTCGGTTAAGGGATTGAGTTTTGATGCGAAAATTGATGGTGGTGAGGGTTTGGGATTGGAGGGAAGTGAAAAAGGGTCAAGTTTGGAGGGTTTAGGGAGTAGAGGAAAAAGAATTAGGGAGAAATTGGAGAGGGAGCTTAGTCCTATTGAATTGGCAGTGGAGGATATTTCATATCAGCATGCTGGGCATGGTGGTGTGAGAGGGAGTGATGGGGAGACACATTTTAATGTGAAACTTGTGTCTAAGGAGTTTGAAGGTAAGAGCTTGGTGAAGAGGCATAGGTTGATTTATAATTTGTTGCAAGATGAGTTGCAGAGCGGATTACATGCATTGTCTATTGTAGCGAAGACGCCGGATGAAGTTGATGGGAGCTGAAGAGGGATGCAAATAGAGGTTCCTTTTTGTTCTTTGATTTGATTCTATAGCTGAGTTCTAAATATTGTTTCTAGCCTTAAGTTAAAGACTTTAGTCAGAAAGTTTAAACTGTACCAATAATGATCTTTGAAACGGTTAAATCAGTTGCATATTTTTGAAATAGTGAGTAAATTTTGTTTACATTAGTTGATTTTGTAATCTTTTCAGTACATGCTACTGCTAATGCCATTGAATGTGAGTTTTGATAGTTACGTGTTTGCTTTTAGATATTGTTAATTTCTGAACTGGGAGATCAGCATAGGAAGGTCTTGTGTTCCTTCTATGATGAGCCCTGTTAATAACTTTGTATTAAATGCTTTGAATCTGCCAAAGATATCTGAATTCCTACAGTTGAGGTGGTGAGAAATTTCAAATTGAAAGAATAACCGGCTTTGGTTTAGTTGATTAGAGGTGGTTCTAGTACATTTGTTTTATCAAAGCAGGTATCTGAATATCAAGACTCTCAATCTTCTTTACTCTGTGCTTTATCCTTTCCTCTTTCATAATTTAAGCTGGTATCTTGACTGGAAATTCCTTATGCTGGTTCACTTCATATGTTAGCTCATCAAAAAGTTAGCTGGCAGAATTACCAAAACTCCATTATAAAATGAAATGTTATCTGTGTTTGCTGAGCTTGAGGTTTGAAAATAATATCTTTAGGGCATAGATAATTAAACCTCTAAGAATTCTGTTCTCTCCCTAGCGCAGAGCTTATGAGACAATGCCTTAATATCTCTATTTAGGCATCAATCTGAACAAACCTGGAAAAGTAAAGTTAAAAAATTTCTTCTTCTTCATCTCCTTGTTTTGCATCTTCGGGCAACAATAACGCCAGTGGGTGGGCCGGTCATCTCTATCTCACACCTTCCATGTAACCAGTATGAATAATGGAGCAGACCCAGGTTTGCTCTGACTTTAAAAGTCCCTCTCATGTTGTAGTGGACCTTGTTACTCTGCACCTGCTTTTGAAGTTCCATAGCCAGATTCTGGGGCAAATAGACCAAACTTGATATTACATGAACTGATTGCAGTCTTGTTTCCCGACTTCTTTGTGTGAAAGGCTGAAGAGCTTGAGTTCCAATGAGTCTGTCAAAAAAGTAGAGCTCTATATCCACATACTCGAATCTTACATCAATTTTCTGATTTGGGTTGGAGAAGTTTGCGAGGAAGGTAAGATCCCCATTAAAATACTCTGGGGAATCGAAATAGATGCTATTTAGATTTGCGTTTGGTATGTCAAACACTGGGTTTTTTGGCTTAATGACAAGATAGATAATCAAAGTTGCTATTCCAAAGAGGATGAGAACAAGGCTGAATACGAGGCATAGGATTGCGCCAAACCATATAACTGGGTTGGTGCGGCGTGGTCGAGGATGTTTGAATATTGGTGGCTTGCTTAATTTCTTGCTGTCAGAATTTGATGTCTCTGCTGAGGAACTTTGTTGATTTCTGGCTTGCTTTGATATGACAATCTGATTGAGAGAGACTGGAAATCTTTGCTTTTCTGGTGGTGTAGATGGTTCTTTGGGCAGTGGCGAGGGTGGTGGAGGAGGGAGTGGAAGCATCTCTGAGTGTTTTGAAGAAGAAAACCTCTAAAGCAAGTTGTTGGAGAAGATGTAGATTAAAATTGTTCTTTCTTCAAATATATTAGGATGTGGAGTAAGTAAAGTAGAAAAAAGAAGCTTTTGGTTTAGGGTAGTGGGCCAACATGTTGTTTTTGAGATTGGCAAAAGGATGTGTATGTGGATTTAAAGTTGGAAATCACAGATGTTTTGGTTTGAATAGCTTTTTGCTTTTGAATGCCCTCCTGTATAAGAAATTGCCAAAGAAATGGTCCTGCAAAAGACTTAAGTTTTGTAAACTGTTTCTTCTAGTACTTTAGTATTTACCTTTAAGTGGGTGGCCAATGATGCAATATCCTAATAATCCAATGGCTATGATTTGGTTATATAAAATTTAAGATAGTAATGGAATATGATGTCAGCCCTGGACTAGGAAGTTCAACTGCATTAAGCAAACATTGAGCGGAAAGTTAAAAGTTAATGCTGTGATCCAACTAAGATAATGAAATCAATATAAAGAAAACTTAGCTTCCTCGAAGGTGGACCAAGTGTCACCGCAAAGGTAAGTGGTATCTTGATAATGCTGATTGCCATAGTTATTTGCATGTATGATTATTTTCGTGCAGATTTGAAAACTTATTTCAAATGGTAAGCTTACTTACCATGGTTTGCATCCAAAAGGTGGATGTTGCTCGTCTTCCCTTTCCCTAGTTTAGGCCATAAGCCCAAGGCCAATGTGTTGGTTTCTGATACATTGGCCTCGGGCTTATTTGATCTAGATTACAAATTTGGACTTGAACAGGATTAACAGCTTCAGGTGCTCCTCCTGTAACAATTTTGAGGCAAATCAGTGATCATTGATTCTTGTCCTCGGTAACAGAAGCTGGGTCCCATGATATGCAGCAAATTCACATGAAGCAGGGTCCCATGATATGCAGTGTCCTTCCCAAACTGCCATTCTTTATCCCAACATCTCTAAAGATACCCTTCTTTAGCCCACCATCACTCGCCAGTTCAGTACTCTACTAAAGTTGGACTGCAGTGCCGATTCATCCTCTGGCCTATATGCTGATCATACAATGAAGTTCTTTCAAAAATCAGTCTCTCTCTTGACTAAAGAGACTGCGGCAATGGTGGATAAAAAGGCAATGAAACAAGTGGATATTAGAGAAGAAGAAGATAAGAAGAAATTGGTGAAACACTATTCATCAAAACATCAGATGCTGTTAGTTGGGGAAGGAGATTTCTCTTTCTCTTGGTGCTTGGCTCGCTCTTTTGGCTCTGCCTATAAGATTGTTGCTTCCTCTCTTGACTCCTATGGTAATCTCTCTATAGACCATTCTATGCTCTTTTATGTATTTGTAACATATACTCAGCACTGTGTATGTAGTGAAGATTGTCATTTCTTTATGCAGCTGACCTTTACTTTTTCTTAAGCCCCGATTATCAAACAGCAAGACTTTATTGTTAGCCAAATGTAATTAATTTTTTGTTACTGTAATTGACAAGGAGTATTTGAAAATCCTTTTCTGGATAAAATCTAAACAATAGAGCCTTTGTTTCTTTACAGTTTCATGTTAACATGTGCTTGCTCTTGAGATTATGGTACTTTATACGATTTGTTTTTGTTAATGTATTCAATTTTTTCTCCTTTACTATTAGATGTTGTGATTCAGAAATACAAGAAAGCGAAATCAAATTTGGAAGATTTAGAGAAGTTAGGAGCCTGTATATTACATGGAGTGGATGTAAAAAGAATGAAACATCACTTTGCTTTGAGGATGCTGAAGTTCGATCAGATTATATTCAATTTTCCTCATGCAGGTTTTAATGGAAAAGAAGACAGTGACATTGTGATTGAGTAAGCTATTTTTCTTCAGTACTCATCTTGTAGGCCAAGTAACCTTCTTCATTATAATGTGAAGCTTTTCAACTCTTTAGAGCTTATAAGACATGAATCGGTCATTTAACTTGAATTATAGCTTTTTGTGTGAAAACTTTCAGTACTATTGCTATTCCTTCATTCTAACAAGGACTGTACTGCTGAATCTCATAAATAGAAGGGAAATTTGATTTAAATGGTTAGATGTCTTGGAGTCAAGGAACTGACGGTGCATTAGACTTACTTGGATGTTAAAGAAGAGCAAGTGTGAATGATATATCATGTTCCTTGGAACTTAAGAATTTCCAAATCCTTTGAATTCTATAGTTGTTTGGTTCAATTAATTACAAGGTAACCGGACATGTTAATTGTTATCATTACCTGTACTCTGGCATTATTTTTCAGGAAGCATAAGCAGCTTGTGGGAAGCTTCTTCGGGAATGCGAATGACATGCTACAAGCTGATGGAGAAATACATGTAACTCACAAAACAACACCTCCATTCTGCGACTGGAACATTTTGGAACTTGCTCGGAGAAATTGTTTAGAATTAATTAAGCGCATTGATTTTAAGATAGGAGACTATCCAGGTTACAGCAACAAAAGAGGAGATGGTAATAGATGTGATGAGTCTTTCCCTTTGGGAGAGTGCAGTACTTTCAAATTCAGATCCTTCTGTACTGCTCAGAAGACTTACGGAGCAACAAGTAACTCGGTATCTGCACTCAAAAGAACTTGGCAACTACAGGGTAATCAGATCGAAATGTTTAAGCGTCAAAGAATCGCATTTGATCGAGGAATTTTGCAAAAAAGTTTCAGCATGAATTCAAAAGATTTCTCAGACTACGGCCTGACACCTTTAGCAGTTAAGACCAGGACAGAAGGTGCTAGTACTTCTTTAGAAACATGTGGCAGAGCTATTACTCACTGGGGCAACCCTGTTTCTGAAATCCCACCGTCCAATTTTGCAAGGTACGTGGTAAATTCCCAAGGAAGATTCATGCATGAAAATCCATATATGTTGCTTGGACTTCATAGAATTAATCAACCCTTTAGCAATTTGGACTCATCATCACAGCAGCGAGAGATGGTACACTTTTATGGTCGGCACCCAGAAGGAACAAGGTGGTTTGTTTAATGTTTTTAGGGAGACTGGAGCACCTCTCTTTACATCGTTGCTTGAAGAAGTGAATAAAAAAATGTCAAGTAGTGATAAAACCTGCCTTGAGTTTTTTATTTTGTCAAGTAGGGTTCGTAACTCTGGCATTCGAAGTGATGAAATGTGTGCATGTACACATTTGCAGTTACCAACTCTTACTTTTGGGAAACTTTATCTACCAGATTTTAGTGGTTTCAATTCAATATGGTATCATGCAGAACTTTTCTTTCTAATCTATTCCATTTTCGAGCAATCATGTTTAAGAGTTATGCGTACTTGATCAACCGGAGTGTAGCTGGAACACTCATGAGAGCCACACATTTGAGTTGTTGAAACATGAAATCAAGGATAGTTTGCGAACTGAATGTTTTTATACCTCAATTATATGTTGTGTAATGCATAGTAGAAAAAGGATCGATTATGAAGATTAAGAGTGAAAGGAGCAGATCCTACATTTCGTGGCTTCTCATATGATGGAATGCATGACATTTTTTTCTGCAAGAGTCATGCTGAAATATGAAAGATATATATATATATATATATATATATATATATATATATATTTTGGCATTTGTACTTCATTCTTTTTGATGCAGCTAGTAGTACTTTCCCAAGTATTGATGGATGTATGAAACTGGGTTGGTAATGGTGCTTTTGCATATTAATGACAGGGACATAGGCTTGAAAGTAGCAGATCTGGTTACTGATAATGGAATGTGACTTTTTTTCTTTTTAGATCAGATCAATTGAGCTAGTAGAGAGCTAGCAAAAAAGGAGCTACAACCATTTAGCCAAAACATCCAGAAACTTAATAAATCATGTAAAAATATTCCATCTGTAAATTATCATAGCTCATAAAGAATTTTAATCTATAGTGGATAAGTGTGTCTGAGCTGCGTAGTACAAAGTCATTCATACCAATGGGACTAAAATTCCCCTCCCTCCACACCCCACCCCCCCCCCCCCCCCCCCCCCCACCAAAAAAGAAAAAAGGAATTCAGAGTTTCAGACCTAAAAGATTTCTTACGTCAATTGGGTTATAAGCTAATCAGATGTTAGAAAAGAAAAGATTCTTTCCACAAAATGATAGTGAAAAGACAACCAAAAAGAGTGCCTGACCCTACACTCCTTGACTAGGAAATGCCATGTGAAGCAAGTTAATCATAGCTCCAAAAGGGTTACACCCACGACGAAGGAGCCCAAGAAACAACTTCAGAAGCAAGTTTTTGACAGACATTTAAACAGTAGATGCTGAGAGACACTAGTACATTTGTGAGGCTGAAGACATAGATTTTGCGATTATAACATGGCAGTAGAGCCAGCGTTCTTTGATCTTCTTAATGTGAATGATACTTACTTTCCATCTTTCTATACTAAAGAGAGTCCAATAATGGCGGATAAAAAGGCAATGAAACAAGTGGATATTAGAAAAGAAGAAGATAATGAGAAATTGGTGAAATTCTATTCATCGAAACATCAGATGCTGTTGGTTGGTGAAGGAGATTTCTCTTTCTCTTGGTGCTTAGCTCGCTCTTTTGGCTCTGCCTGTAAGATTGTTGCTTCCTCTCTTGACTCCTATGGTAATCTCTCCATAGACCATTCTATGCCCTTTAATGTATTTGTGTATATATACATACATTTGTTACTGTGTATGTAGTGAAGATTGTCATTTCTTTATGCAGCTGACCTTTACTTAAGTATGTTTCCCACTTATTATCAAACAGAAAGACTAATTTATGGTTAGCCAAATGTAATTAATTTTTCGTTACTGTAATTGATGAGGAGTAATTGAAAATGCTTTTCTGGATAAAATCTAAACAATAGAGCCTTTGTTTCTTTACAGTTTCATGTTATCATGTGCTTGCTCTTGGGTTTATGGTACTTTATACGATTTGTTTCTGTTAATCTATTCAATTTTTTCTCCTTTCCTATTAGATGTTGTGATCCAGAAATACAAGAAAGCAAGATCAAATTTGGAAGATTTAGAGAAGTTAGGAGCCTGTATATTACATGGAGTGGATGTTAAAAAAATGAAGCATCACTTTGCTTTGAGGATGCTGAAGTTCGATCGGATTATATTCAATTTTCCTCATGCAGGTTTTAATGGAAAAGAAGACAGAGACATTGTGATTGAGTAAGCTATTTTTCTTCAGTACTCATCTTGTAGGCCAAGTAAACTTCTTCATTATAAACCGAAGCTTTTCAATTCTTTAGAGCTTATAAGACATGAATAGGTCATTTAACTTGAATTATAGCTTTTTGTGTGAAAAATTTCTGTACAGTTGCTATTCCTTCATTCTAACACGGACTGTACTGCTGAATCTCATAAATAGAAGGGAAATTTGATTTAAATGGTTAGATGTCTTGGAGTCAAGGAACTGACGGTGCATTAGACTTACTTGGATGTTAAAGAAGAGCAGGCGTGAATGATATGTCATGTTCCTCGGAACTTAAGAATATCCAAATCCTCCGAATTCTATAGTTGTTTGTTTCAATTAATTACAAGGTAACCGGACATGTTTATTGTTATCATTACCTGTTCTCTGGCATTATTTTTCAGGAAGCATAAGGAGCTTGTGGGAAACTTCTTTGGGAGCGCGAATGACATGCTACAAGCTGATGGAGAAATACATGTAACCCACAAAACAACACCTCCATTCTGCGACTGGAACATTTTGGAACTTGCTCGGAGAAATTCCTTAGAATTAATTGAGCGCGTTGATTTTAAGATAGGAGACTATCCAGGTTACAGCAACAAAAGAGGAGCTGGTAATAGATGTGATGAGTCTTTCCCTTTGGGAGAGTGCAGTACTTTCAAATTCAGATCCTTCTGTACTGCTAAGAAGACTTACGGAGTAACAAGTAACTCAGGTTCTGCACTCAAAAGATCTTGGCAACTACAGGGTAATCGGGTCGAAATGTTTAAGCGTCAAAGAATCGCATTTGATCGAGGAATTTCTCAAACAAGTTTCAGCATGAATTCAAAAGACTTCTCAGACTACAGCCGGACACCTTTAGCAGTTAATATCAGGACAGAAGGTGCCAGTACTTTAGAAACATGTAGCAGAGCTATTACTCACTGGGGCAACCCTGTTTCTGAAGTCCCACCGTCCAATTTTGCGAGTTACGTGGTAAATTCCCAAGGAAGATTCATGCATGATCCATATATGTTGCATGGACTTCATAGAATTAATCAACCCTTTAGCAATTGGGACTCATCATCACAGCAGCGAGAGATGGTACTCTTATATGGTCAGCACCCACAAGGAACAAGTTGGCTTGTTTAATGTTTTTAGGGAGACTGGAGCGCCTCTCTGTACATCGTTGCTTGAAGAAGTGAATAAAAAAAAAATATCAAAGTAGTGGTAAAACCTGCCTTGAGCTTTTGATTTTGTTAAGTAGCGTTCGTAACTCTGGTCATTAGAAATGATGAAACGTGTGCATGTATGTATTTGCAGTTACCAACTTACTTTTGCGTAACTTTATCTATCAGCTTTTAATGGTTTCAATTCAATGTCAATTCCATTTTCATGTTTAAGATTTACGTGTACTCGATCAATTGGAGTGCAGCTGGAATACTCATGAGAGCCACACATTTGAGTAGTTGAAACATGAAAAGTGCTATATATGTGCATCCTTACATTTCCAAGCGCCAATTCCTACAAGAGTTTTGTCAGAGATTTTTCCCAATCGAAAGCATTTTATTCTTTGATTCTATGCAGCTACTTTTATCTTCAATGGAATAAGTGCAAAAGTTGGTTTCCAAGAAAATTGTCGCCTTAAAAAGGTTTATAACTCGACCAAGGAAGGCATCCATCTTCGTCTTCAGGTAAAAGGAAATGAGGGTATCAAGCGTTTGCTTGTTTAAAGAGAAAGGAAGATGATTCTGCTAATGTTAATTGTTTCGATCCCCATCAATCAGAAGTGCTTTGGATGCAACAGAAATTGATCAACACTTCATCTCTACTTATAACTTAGACAAATCCAATCCAAAGAGAAACATCATTATAGCATTAGCTAGTTGCATTCGATCGAGTTACTCTTTGATTCAAAACAATTATTGAAGCAACCATTGTGAGATTACGAAAAACATACGCGCCGTAGCTTTGCAGGTGAGTTTAGAACATTTTCTGTGTGTTATTATTATCATGCATTCTTGTTAATTTTTGTGTTATTGGAAATTTGTTAAATAAATTCATATTTTCTCTTAAGATTTGAAATTTAATAAAGAATTGAATACGCTGCCATCCAAGTCCGTCTTTCACAGTAAACAATACCAATATTAACTACGATATATATTGTTGATGTGTTAGAGATTTCAAAGCTGAATTGTGGAGCAACAAGATGGTGATGGAATGTTGAAAAGGCACAGGAACTTTTATAGAAGGATTCACAGCAGCAAATTCGTCGTCTTGTGTGATTGGAAGGCAAGGTAATTTGCATGTCTAGCAGCTTCACAGATTATGTCAAATTGTTCCATTTGTAAATTATCATATTTCATAGCTAGAGAACTTTAATTTATTGTGGATAAGTGCGTCTGAATTTGTGTACTACAAAATAATTGATATCAAATAGCAGATATCAAAGATGAGCTTTATTTACTATTTACTATAAAACTAAAAGAATTGGACTTTTTGAACAGTAATAAATTGTTTATTACTATAGTTTATTATTATTATTTTTTTTTGGGTGATTTTCAAGTTGTTTTATTTTGGTGCCTAAAAATTTAAAATAAAAATGTTAATCCTCTAATTGATTCACTACACATGCTTTTTTTTTCTTTGGTTTTTTCTTTCGTTTTTTTTTTTTCCATCAATTTATGTTCTTTTTTTTTATTTAATTGGGTGTTAAAATTTTGAAAAATCAATTCTTTCTTTGCTTTTTTCCATTAATTTAAGTTCTTTTTTTTTATATTTAATTTGGTGTTAAAATTTTAAAAAATCATTGTATCTTTTTTTCACACAAACCGACGATTATATAATATATCTTTTTATATTTTAAAATTAACATATACTTCAACTTATATTATTCTTATTATTTAAATTTTATTCTTTGAATTTATCATTTTTTTATGAAAAACATCATCCAATTAATATTTTTATATGAAATTTTATTTACTGATATTATATAATTTATTTTTTTCTATGTTTGAATTTCAAAATAAAATTTTAAAACATAATTGTTTTTTTTTTTTAAATAAATTGGTATAATATATATCATGAATTCTTATAATTTTTAAATGATAGTTGTATATATATAAATATATAATTATTTTATTCTAAAAGGTTAAAAGTGTATTTTAAATAATTTATCTCAGTTCATTAAGTATGATCAAGACGTAAAAAAATTATTGAATCGTTGATTTTATTAAAAATTGAACATACATCTTCCAACATAATACAAATTATTTACTATAAATATTTTTTAACATTATAGAACCAATTTATTTGAAATAAAATAATTAAAATAATTTTTTAAAGGAACCAACCAATTATTCAAATACTGTTTTTTATGCTAATTTTATTGATTATTTTGTAAATAAATATATATAGATCAAATGCATATACTTGAAAAAAAAAATCTTCTCACCTACATTAAATAAGAATAAAATTTTATTTTTTCATTAGTTAATTTTTATGCAAGTTTATACATTAATTGTAACTTTAATTTTTGGATACATTCTTATAAAAAAATATAATTTTAAAGTATTTTTTTTGAATTCTTAATTAATATTTCAAGTTTAAATTATTAGAAGTTTTTATTTTAGAATCCTTGAATAACGAACAATAAATTATATTTTTTAAGCGGACATTTTATGAAAAATATACAAAAAATAGTAATAATTAAATAAAAAATTATAACATTTGGTAATGATTTTGTTCTATTTATCCGTAGCGTTGTACGGATAATTTCAAAAATTAATCTTCTCATCAGTATTAAATAAGAATTTTTTTATTTGTTAATTTTTGTAAAAATCTATCTATTAATTATAACTTTGTATTTTTGGATTACTATATTGTCAAAATTATATTTTTAATTTTTTTTCAATTCTTGATTAATATTTTAGTTAAATTTTTTACAATTTTTAATCTTAAAATCATTCAATAAAGAATAATGATTTATGTGTTTTTAAGCAGAAAATTTTTAAAAACATCAGAAAAAATCAATTAAATAAAATATTATAATTAAAAAATTTTAATTTAAAATAATTTTTGTTCTATCGGATCTGCGGTGTAACACGGGAAACCGGCTAGTATTTATTAAAATGTTGCGTAGTAAACAAAATGGCTTAAGTTTAAGTTTTTATTGGCTTGAAAAGTCGTTTTTTCAAAAAAAAAAAAAAAAGTGATTTTTAGACATTTTAAGCATTTTTTATGCTTTGATCCTTAGAGTTATGTTTTTTTTTTCATAAAACAGTTCCTAAATTTCAATTTTCTTATGTTTTTATTTTTTAATTACTTATTATTTGGTCAAAATAAATTTTTTTCGATAGTTAATGGTTCTTTTTTTTTTTCTTATTAACTTATTAACTAAAATTATACACTCTTCTAATATAAAACCCTCATTTATTTTATTTTTTAATAATTAATTGCATTTTTTAATTAATCAAAATCTAACATATTCATAGGATATATTTGAACTCAAACATGAAATATAAATATTTTATTAACTACTGCATCATACATATTAAATTAACACCAATTCTCACCATTAATATTGATTCATTTTTATTTTACTCCAAGATTTTTTAAATTAATTAAGATATTAAAACTTATTTTATAGATTTATCCGTCATAAAATGCGGTTGCTATGCTAAAAAAAATTAATATTTACCTTCATTTCATGTCCTTCACTAACAAAAAATCAATATTTTTCTGTTATACATACAAATACGTTTAACATAAAAGTATTGCTAAATTTACAACCTAAATTATTATTTCCAACACATTTTTTCAAATAATTACCAATACACTCTACATCAATAATTATTATATAACAAATATTGGTGGATAGTGTATTAGTAATTGTCTGAAAAAAAAAAATTTAACCAGTTGGTGAATTTAATAATACCCTTAACATAAAAGATTCAAAACAAAATTTACATCATGCCAAAATTTCGAAAGTAAAATATTTCAATTAGTATGTTATTTTTTCATACTTGTTTCAAACTCATTAATTAACTTAATGTTTTATCATTTGATTTATCACCTTAATTTTAGATAGATTTTTTTAAATTAAAATTGATTCTATGTAATAAAAGGTTAAATTTGATAACTAATAATTTTAACACATTTTTTTTTTAAATGTAAACAATAAATACATATAGCATAACAATAAATATTTTATTTTTAACTGTATAAAAAGTCAAAGAGTACAATCTCTTTGAGAGACAGAGATAGTAATAAAAACAACTAAATTTCATGACTATCATTCTTTCAAGGGTAAAAGATTGTTGCTCAGACGTTTTTGTTTCCATCTTCCCATGCATACTCAGGAGGTTTTTCCCCCTTATTCATTCATCGCATTTGGAAAGTCGAATCATAAAAAAAAAATGCACTCTCTCTAGTCCTCTAATCCTACTTATGTTGTAAAGCCCCTTGTTTCAGTTGTGTAAAGTCTAGCTAGCTTGCGATCAACAAGTCTATTAGGAAAGTGAAGGAAATGTAAAAATATATCCTATGAATATCTCAATCAAGTATTTAGCTAAATCCCTCGTAATATTTTGGCAATCATATTTTAAATGTGGTAGAGCGATCGGCATAAACAGTTGATTTAGCGATGTTAAATGCTTTAGCTAAACCTGAAATATATAAACTTACTAGTTTGAGGAGCCTAACTTCAAAATCCATGGTATTATAGGTAAGAAGACAAGTTGGTGGAGTCCGAAGATAGAGTAGAGAAATGGCAGAGTCAGCAGTGAGCTTTGCTGTTGACAAGATGGCTACATTGATAACCGAAGAAGTGACACTATTGAAAGGCATCCGCGATGAAGTTGAACATATGAAAGATGATTTGGAAGCCATTAGAGCTTTCGTGAAGGATGCAGATTCGAAGGCAGAGAAAGAAGGCATCAATGAGGGTGTAAAAGTGTGGGTCAAGCAAGCAAGGGAATTGGCCTTTCTCATTGAAGATGTCATTGACGAATACATGCTTCGTGTGGCACAACATCATGATCGACGTGGATGTGTAGGCTTCTTACATAAAATTGCTTCCTTGGTTATGAAATTGAAGGCACGCCATGAGATAGCATCAGAAATTCAAGATGTTCGAAAAGCTCTTCAAAATATCAAGGAAAGAAGTGGACCATTCCAGTTCATCCCTTCAGAGCAAGGAGCATCTAGTAATGCAAGAAGAGCCATATCGCATGATCCTCGAATGGCTTCTCTTTTCATTGAAGAAGGTGAACTTGTTGGCATTGAATCTTCGAGAGATAAACTGGCAAGTTACATGGTAGATGATGCATCTCAAAGGACGGTCATCTCATTGGTTGGTATTGGGGGAGTGGGTAAAACCACTCTTGCTAGGAAAGTATACGACAGTCGAAGAGTGACAGAGCACTTCCGATGTCATGCTTGGGTGATGGTTTCTCAATCATATGATAAGAAGGAGTTACTGAAGAGTATTCTAAGGAAACTCTATGAAGCTAAAAATAAGTGTTGTCCTGAAAACATTGTCACAATGGAGGATCCATCATTGATTGGTGAGCTCAGAAATTATTTATGACTGGAGCGGTATTTCATTGTATTCGATGATGTATGGGAAATTGGCTTTTGGGAAGATGTGGAGCATGCTTTGCTGGATAATAACAAAGGCAGTAGAATATTGATCACAACAAGAAAGGAGGGTGTTGCTAATTTCTGTAGGAGATATTCACTAGTTCATGTCCATTTGCTGGAACCTCTAGGCCAACAAGATTCCTGGGAGTTGTTTTGTAAGAAGACATTCATGCGTGACTTTGAAGGGCGATGCCCTAAAGATTTGGAAGAGTTATCCAGGGACATTGTTGGAAGATGCGGAGGATTGCCTCTCGCCATTGTGGCCATTGGTGGACTACTAGCGAGCAAAGAAAAGGTGGTTCTAGAGTGGGAAAAATTGCTCAATAGTCTTGGTTCTACATGGAGGGATGATCCAAATCTTGAGAATATCACCAAAATTCTCTCTCTTAGTTATGGTGATTTGCCTTACTACCTTAAATCTTGTTTCTTATACTTGGGCATGTTTCCAGAGGATTTTTCCATTAGACGTGGAAGGCTAATTCGGTTATGGGTAGTTGGAGGTTTCATACAAGAAAAGCAAGGCATGACATTAGAAGAGGTTGCAAAAGAATACATGATTGAACTTATTCATCGAAGTTTAGTTCAAGTGGATCTTGTTAGTGCTAAAAGAACTCCTATTACATTTCGAGTTCATGATTTGGTACGTGAGGTCATTCTTTCCAAGTCAGAGGAGTTGAGTTTGTGCCATGTTTTAGGTAATTACTTAAGCTTTGAAAGCATAGCTAGACACCTTTCTATAAGCAACAGAGAAAATGGGAATCGAAAGAGCAGCACCAAGTCACAAACACGCTCTATTATGATCTTCAACGAAGTAGAGCTTCAAAAGCTCGTAATTGATTGGATATTTGGAAAATGCAAGTTGTTGACCGCATTAGATTTTGAAAGCTGTCCAATAAATTACATTCCGAAAGAATTGGGAAATTTGCTGCATCTGAAGTATCTCAACTTAAGAAATACCAAAGTCTCAAAACTTCCAAAATCAATTGGGAAGCTACAGAACTTAGAGTTCTTAGATGTGAGGGGTTCTTCAGTGAAGGAGTTGCCAATTGAGATTAACAGATTTTCCAAATTGCGATATCTTTTGGGTGATCCTGCATTGAAGATATATGGCAGCATTTGGCATTTAGAGTTCTTACAAGTACTATATGCAGTTAGACTAGATGATGATCAATATGTGAGATTAATTAATGAGTTAAGAATGTTGAAGCAATTGAGAAAATTGGGGATTGTAGATTTTAAAAGAGAATATGGAAGGGATCTGTGCACTGCTTTGGAGAGGATGACTCAATTGCGGTCACTATATGTTCGTGTAGTCAAAGTGAACGAGATTCTTGAAGTGCAATCTATGTATTCTCCTCCTGCTCTCCTTCAAACCCTCCAACTTTCTGGACGGTTAGAGAGGTTCCCTGATTGGGTTTCCAAACTACAAAATCTAGTTGAATTGTGTTTGTGGTATTCAAGATTGAAGGATGATTTGATAAAAGTTATTCAAGCTTTGCCTAATTTAAAAGTTTTTCGGCTATTTGATGGATACAATGGAGAGAAGATTCAGTTTGAGGAAGGAGGGTTTCAAAAGCTCAAGGAGTTATTTCTTGCAGGGTTGAATGAGTTGAAAACGATGACAATAGACAAAGGAGCAATGCCTCTTCTTGAACAGCTGTATATAGGTCCTTGCCCACAATTGAAGGAGGTGCCCTTTGGAATTCAACACTTGAAACACCTCAAAGAGCTATATTTTGATGGGATGTCAAGTGAGTTCACGCAAAGGTTGTCACGTGAACAAGGAGAAGACTACTGGATAGTGAAGAATGTACCAATTGTGAAGCAATACATTTGATGGTACACACTATTTATTTTTAGAAAGCAAAAATGAGTGATAGTTTTATAATAATTTGTGCTACTTCAACCCGTGAAAAAACAATATTTCTAATTTCATATAACTAGATTTGTGTTTTTAAAAACTTCTTACGCACTTGTCTGATTTAATTTTCAATTTATTAATGACTTATATATATATATATATATATATATATATATATTATGAATGTCAAATTCACATGTGCTATGAAATATGCAGTATGTTTTGCACTAAGAAATAATTGACCATATTTTTTTTCTTTAAAAAGAAAAGATCTTATAAATTGGTCAACACCTATGCTTATTTGTTTCTTTTGTTGTATATACTATTATTTTTTTTACATGTGCTTTCAATATGTCTGATTAGATGATTTTTTTTTATTATTATTCTAAAATATCATCTTGAATACATAATTAAGGAATTGAAAAGCTTTTTTTTATAGTTCGAAAGAATAACTGTGAGATTCTATTAATGATACCGATTAAATACTTTGATAACTTCCGTCATCTAATTATTAAAAGTAATTCAATTCTATTAAAGTATCTATTAGTTATGATATAAAGTCTCTAAATTTGTTTAGTTCAATGAATATCAACACTAAATTTATTAATTTCTAATTCTTAATTAATGGCGAGATGAGTTTTTAAAATCTTCCCATAAACTTGCCTCTTCTAATTTGGATTTTCAGTTATCATTTTTTTTCTAACTCCTATAGCTTATTATGTTTTCTTTTGTTTCATAAATAAATTTCTAATACAAGTGACAATATTGCAGAGACATTGTAGAGAATGTGTGGATGACTCCAGGAATTCTACCAACGTAATGTTGAAGTGACAATATATATAATGTACTGTTGTGATTATTTTACATATATAATGTAACTTGTTTTCAGCGTTGTTGCTGTTGTTATTTGCTGTACGTGTTGTACTGGTTTGGCTTTGAACAGATTGAATCTCTCTGTAATAATTGCTCATCAAGCAACTTATGTATTTCTCTTTGATGCTATTAACTACTAAGCCAGTGTTGTTGTTGCTGGGTGAATCAGATTCAGCTAATGTTTAAACTATGCCTGAACTGAGTGTTGGGCTTGGATCAAGTATGGGCCTACAACTCTATTTTGCCTGCTCTTCCTTTTTTTTTTTTGTTGAATATTTATGTTCGGCATAGTTCTTGTCACTTTTAATTTGATCGTTAAAATATTTACTTTAATATATTTTGTTTGATATTTGTAACTAGTAATTTTAAGTTATAATGCATTCTGCAATTTTTTTTATATAATATTAAATTATTAAAAATATTGTTATTATAATATTAAATTATAATAAAATTATATATTTGAGGTCTGACTTTGAAAACTAGTGTTTGAAATTCAAAAAGAAAACACTGAACATTAAAACAGGATGGATGCGAGTGAAAGGAAAATAGTTGATTGTGCACCTAACAAATCTTTATATTTATTTATTTTACTTAATATTTTGGTGGACGGTGGCGAAGGTCTTTGTTTAATCATTTACGTGGACTTAGATCTCAAAGTTGGCTTTCAATATGTGAAGTGAAAGGGTCACATTTGACCCAATTTAAAGTAGAGGATTTAATTTGATCAAATGTAGAAATTACAGAGACCATGTTTTCCCTTTTAGCTACAGAGGGTTTCAATTTTGAGCTTTTATGCGTGCCTATGTTTAATACTAAAACTTGCATAACTTTCTCATTATACTCCAAAATAGAACCTCAATTTTGGACACCAATATTTTTGAAATACTTAATCCAAGAATATGTTAAGCTAAAATTGAACAGATTATCTTAACTTAATGGACCAAAATGAATTTTAAATATAAGGATCGAAACAAAAAGCAAGGCCATACCATTTTTGTTCTTGTTAATAACTCTAGGTTTAACAAAACCATTGCATGATTTCAGGGACCAGAATGACAAATTTTAAACCTTGAAAGACTCCAAAACAGGATTGGCCACTTTCTTAACCAAAATTAAAAAAGTGTTTTCGAGTTGTCTTTTAGAGAGAAATTTTATAACACACAAGGAGTAATTAGTGGCATGTATAATAGTTACTTTTTGGATCCACTTTAAAGAGAGAGATAGAACCACAAAAAGAGAGAGAAAAAATAAGAGAGAAAATAAAAAAAAATTGAGCGGACGTGAAAATCTTCTTATCACTTTTGATTGGTATAGATGTAATTTCTCTCCTTTTTTATGTCTCTATCTCTCTCCTTAAAGTGAGCATAAGGAGTAACTACCGTACATGCCACTAGTTACTCCTTGTGTATTATAAAATTTTTCGTCTTTTAAAGACCCTCATTGCTACGTATTTGACGAGATTGGCCGACGAGTAAAATTTCACTCGGAAATTCATGTTAAGAAAATTGCTTGTGGGAATTAACAAAGATGACACATATGCCAAAGCAAGACCAAATTCACCAATCATCTTCGATCGATCCTAATAAATATTAGATATGGTAGCTATCAATGGAAAAGCTAATCCACTTGCCGATTCATTAATCAATTAAATACTATTAACATTAACACGGAGTGGAATATTCGGAGTCTTGGCAATTGTTAGAATCCGAGAATTTTCTAGATACTTTAAGTATCATTTTGTAATCCTTAGTTAGTTTAAAAGGAGTGAAGCTCCTTATTTTGTGGGATTTTGTTTTGAAATATTTTTGTAAGTCGGGTTGGTATTGCTACATTAATATATGTGCTACGGTACCATGTATAATTTGTACCGAATATCAAAGTGTGATACACTCGTTTTTGGCTTTTCATGCTCGTTTTACGTTTCCTTCTCTCGTAACTTCTTTTTTCTTCTTATCTCGAACATGAACTGATATTGTTTACATGGTATCGGAGCATATAAAGATCTTAAAGGTCTCGTGAGTGACTAAGAGAGAACACTAGCAAGGATTCTCTCCAAAAAACCTTAAAAAAACTCAAACCTTAAACTCTCATGGCTTCCAACAACACAATGCCTCTTTCACCCCTAGTTTTCAATGGTGACAACTATCAAGTTTGAGTCGTCAAAATGAGAGCTCACTTGAGAGGTCTTGGTTTGTGGCGATGGGTTGAAACCGAAAAACAAATACCTCCTTTGGGAAACAATCCTACTCTTAATCAAATCGGGGCTCATGAAGAAGAAGAAGCCAAAGCTCTAAGAGCTTTATCTTACATTCATGTTGCTGTGTCGAATCAAATTTCACAAGGATTATGGCTTGGGAAACACCAAAAGAGGCTTGGGACAAGCTCAAGGAGATGTACATGGGGAGTGACGAACAAGGCAAATGCAAATTCTAAATTTGAAGAGGGAATTTGAAGTCTTGAGGATGAAAGATAATGAGTCCATCAAAGAATACGTAGATAGGCTCATGGAAGTTGTTAACAAAATCAAGCTTCTTGGTGAGGATGTAACGGACCAAAGGGTTGTAGAGAAAGTTCTCGTAAGCTTGCTCGAAAGATTTGAGTTTAGGATCTCTTCTCTTGAAAACTCAAAGGATTTAACCAAGATTTCTTTGGCGAGCTTGTTCATACTTTTCAAGCTCAAGAACAAAGAAGATCAATGAGAGAGGAAGACAATAGTGAAAAGGCTTTTCTTGCAAAGCAAAAGGAAAAGCTCCTCAAAGGGGAGAGAAGAAGCGAGTTGGATGAGAACAAAGAGAAGGAGAAGAATGAGGGCCAATGAAGTAGAAGTGGTGGCAATAGAAGGTATCCACCATGTCCTCATTACAAGAGGAAGAGTCATTCGAGAGAATTATTGTTGGTTTAGGCTCGGTGTGCAATGCGGATCGTGCAAGCAATTTAGCCATGTAGAGAACGTATGCAAGAATAAAAAAGATCAACAAGGGTAGCGGGGACAACAAGCACAAATGGCTGAAACGCAGCGAACAACATGAGTAGTTGTTTGTAGCTACGAGTCATACAACAAACAACTATACAAAAACTTGACTTATTGACGAGTGGTCGCACAAACCATATAACTCCCGAATTAAGCAATTTCATGGAGTTGGATCGATCATATAAGTCCATAGTGAAGATTGGGAATAAAGACTTGGTTGATGTCAAAGGCAAAGGAGTTGTTGCTATTGAGACATCAACATGTATTAAATATATCTCGGATGTATTGTTTGTACCGATATTAGCCAAAGTCCGTTAAGTGTGGGTCAAATGCTAGAGAAGAATTATTCTCTCCATTTTCAAAATAAGTGCTGCATCATTGTTGATAATGCTGGATGTGAGTTGATGAGTGTAAAAATGAGAGATAAAAGCTTTCCAATTAAGTGGAAAGAGAATGATTTGCATACTTATACCACTCGTTGTTGATGAGTCCGTGTTATGGCATAAGAGGTTTGGTCATTTTCATTATGCTTGCACTCAAACACTTGCATCGGAAAGACTTAGCTAATGACCTACCAGTCATTAGTGATGAACAAAATGTATGTCAAGTCTCGTCAATTTGGGAAGCAAAGCGGATTGCCATTTCACGTTAACAAGGCCTATAGAGCTTCGAAAGGTTGCAATTGATCCATACTGATGTGTGTGGACCAATGAAGACACCTTCTCCGAATGGAAACGAGTACTTCATCTTGTTCATAGATGATTATATAAGGATGTGTTGGGTTTACTTTATGAAGCAAAAGTCGAAGTGGCTGGTGTGTTTTAGAATTTCAAGGCTTTGGTGGAAAATCAAGCAGATTGCGGCATCGAGGTGATAAGATCGGATAATGGAACCGAATATACATCGGCTAAATTTGACGAGTTTTGTGTTAAAGCTGGAATTGAACATCGACTTCATCGTCACTTACTCTCCTCAACAAAATGGAGTGAGTGAGAGAAAGAATAGAAGCTGCTATGGAGATGGCAAGGTGTCTGCTATTTGAGAAGAAGATGCCTAAGTGTTTTTGGGCGAAGGTCGTTAACACGGCTATATATTTATTGAATAGACTTCCAACCAAGGTTGTGAAAGACAAAACTCAATTTGAAGCTTGGTATGGAGTTAAATTAGTTGTGGAGCACCTCAAAGTGTTTGGGAGTTTGTGTTATACTCATGTGCTAGATGTGAAAAGAGACAAGTCTGGACTACAAAGCCGAGATAGGAATCTTCTGTGGATATAGCTCTACCTCTAAGGGCTATAGAGTTTTCAATTTGAAAACCGAGAAATTAATCATTAGTAGGGACATCAAAGTTGATGAAGCGACAGCATGGAACCAGGAGAAAAATGAAATAGAAGCCATAGATGTTGATCAAATTGGGGCAACCATACCCCAAGTTCAAGAAGAAGTACAAGATGAAATTGGGGCTAATAACTTTGATGATGTTCCGATAAAAGGAACGAGGCCACTTGCTGAAATCTATGAGAGATGTGATGTAGTATTACATGAACCTACTTGTTATGATGAAGTCGTTAAAGAAGATGGATGGAGAGTTGCAATGGAGAAAGAGCTAAAAATGATAAATAAGAATAGAACTTGGGAGCTGGTAGAAAAGCCCAAAAATCATAAGATCATTGGTGTTAAGTGGGTTTTCGAACCAAATATAATCCGGATGGTTACGTAAACAAACTTAAGGCTAGATTGGTTGTAAAGGGGTATTTTCAAGAGCATGGTGTTGATTTTTCGGACACCTTTGCTCTAGTTGCTAGGCATGATACTATCGGGCTTCTAATGGCTTTAGCGAAGAAAGATGGGCTGGAAAATTCATCATCTTGATGTGAAGTTAACTTTTCTAAATGGTGTGCTTAAAAATGATATTTATGTTCAGCAACCGAAGGATTTAAGGTTTCGGGTAGTGAAGACAAAGTTTACAAGCTCCACAAAGCTCTCTATGGCTTAAAACAAGCACCAAGAACTTGGTACAGTAGAATTGATGCTTATTTGTTGCAACAAGGATTCAAAAGAAGTGAAAGTGAAGTCACTTTATATGTGATGAAGGTTCAAGATGAAATTCAGCTTATTGTCTCTTTGTATGTAGATGACCCGTTGGTTACGGGTTATAATTCGAAATCTTGAAGAAATTCATGTCTGCAGATGGAGAGTGATTTTGAAATGTCCAATTTGGGTGAGATGAAGTATTTTTTGGGCATGGAAATTCACCAAAGTGATGCTTGGAATCTTCATCTCATAACAAAAGTATGCTCTAGAAGTTTTGAGGAAGTTTCATATGGAAAGATCCAAACTAGTGGTAACTCCATTGATTGTGAATGAGAAATTATCAAAGGATGATGTTGCCGACAAAATAGATGCTTCGTTTACGAAGCCTAATTGGTAGTTTGCTGTACTTATCTGCTACAAGGCCGATTTAATGTTCTCTGCAAGCTTGCTCTATAGATTTATGCACTCACCGAGTCAAATTCATCTTGGTGCGGCTAAGAGGGTTTTAAGATATATCAAAGGTACTTTTGATTATGGTTTGTGGTTTGTTAAAGAAGAAAGTAATAAGCTCCAAGGATTTGCGGATAGTGATTGGGCAGGAAGTATAGATGATTCCAAGAGCACTTCCGGTTATGCTTTCTCATTTGGAAGTGGAGTATTTTCATGGAATTCAAGAAAGCAAGACGTGGTGGCTCAATCCTCGGCAAAAGCCGAGTATATTGCTTGCAGCAGCAGTCGTAAACCAAGTAATTTGGTTAAGAAAGTCTGACGATGATTTTGGGCAAAGTCCGGATGATGCTACTGTAATTTGGGTTGATAACAAGTCAGCCATGGCTATTGCAAAGAATCCCGTGCAGCGTGGAAGAACCAAACATATCAATGTGAAGTTTCATGCAATAAGAGAAGTAGAGAAAAATGATGAAGTCAATCCGATTCATTGTTGCTCGGAAAATCAGATTGCCGATATACTAACTAAGGCACTTTCTAAAGCCAAATTTGAAGAGCTATGGTCAAGGCTTGGAGTCTCCAAGAAAATTCTCAAGGAGGAGTGTTAGAATCTAAGAATTTTCTAGATACTTTAAGTATCCTTTTGTAATCCTTGGTTAGTTTAAAAGAAGTGAAGCTTCTTATTTTGTGGGACTTTGTTTTGAAATATTTTTGTAAGTCGGGTTGGTATTGCTATAGTAATATATGTGCTACAGTACCATGTATATATTTGTACCAGAATATCAAAGTGTGATACACTCTGTTTTTGGCTTCTCATGCTCTGTTTTACGTTTCTTTCTCTGTAACTTCTTTTTTCTTCTTATCTGCCCATGAACTGATATTGTTTACAGCAATAAATTAACAAGGAAAAATCATTTTAGATCTTGAATTGAAGAACACAAAAGGAGGTAGCTAGAAGATCCAAAAAACACAGATATAGGAGTGAAACCAGCAGTTTGCAACAAGGGAGTAATTGAAGGCTGGGAGCTATAGCTATCTTTGGGTGGAGAAGCTGAAGAGGTATGAGGTTTGTGCTTCCTTTCACTGCTTACACCAATGTACTTTCGAGACATTTTCGTTTACTGTTTCTCCAAGCATATCATATACAGACACCAACCAATTATTACCAAACTCTGCTGAGTACGCTATTAATACAACAGTTTGCAACTTCAAGTCTCTATCTTCTGTACGTGAAAGTATTTTGCATACAAAATTACCAAACTTTTCGGGTTTGATCTTATTGTGAGTTTGTTAATAAGAAGGAATTCATTTATTCCATCTAATATTAGGCAACTTCAAAAAAAAAAAAAAAAAAAAAAAAAAGGAAATCAAAAGTTTTATGTGCATGTAAAAGGTAATCCCCACATATTTTCTACATTCATCAACTTGGTGGTTTATGCACAAATCTTTCGTTTGTTTATTTGCTTAAATATGCTAAACAAGAATTTTACTTAGTAGTGTATGTTTACTATAATCATCCACAAGAATTGGAGCGGAGAGCTTAATTATGCTGTAAGAATTTGTATCCTTATTATAACTGATTCAATGAAAACCCTCAACATAACCGACCTAGCTAGAATAATGTTTTAACTGGGAAAATTTCTTTCTGTGCTCTCTTTACGTAAATGCAATATGAAGTTGTTCTGCAAACCTGATAATGATATATTCAAGTAGCGTAACTTCAAAATTTGTGCTTACAAGATGTTACCACGAAAGTAGATCAAATAGTGGAATAAGCAAACAGAGTAGAAAAGATGGCAGAGTCAGCGGTGAGTCTTGTTATTGACAAGTTGGCTCCATTGCTAACTCAAGAGGCGATTCTATTGAAAGGTGTCCATAAAGAAGTCGAAGAAATCAAAGATGATCTGGAAGCCATTAGAGCTTTCTTAAAAGATGCAGATTCAATGGCAGAGAAAGAAGGTGTCAGCGACAGTGTTAAAGTATGGGTAAAGCAAGCAAGGGAAGTAGCTTATCAGATTGAAGATGTCGTTGATGAATACATGCTTCACTTGGCACAGCATCGGGATCGACGTGGATTTATGGGCTTTTTACATAGGCTATCTTCCTTAGTTATGAAATGGAAGCCACGCCACGAGATAGCATCAGAGATTCAAGATGTTAGGAAAGCTCTTCAAAATATCAAGGACAGAAGTGCAGCATTCCAGTTCATTTCTTCAGAGCAAGGAGCATCAAGTGGCCATGCAAGAAACGTTATATTGCATGATCCCCGACTATATTCTCTTTCCATTGAAGAAGCAGAGCTTGTCGGGGCTGAATCTTCAAGAAATGAATTGATAAGTCACTTGGTAAGTGGAGTATCTAACAGGAGAGTATTATCGGTGGTTGGACTTGGGGGAGTCGGCAAAAGCACTCTTGCAAGGAAAGTACATGACAGCAAACAGGTGGAACGGCACTTTCCATGCCGTGCTTGGATCACCGTGTCTCAATCTTATGATAGAAAGGAGCTACTAAGGAGTTTACTAAAGAAGTTTTATGAAGGAAAAAATGAAGCCTTTCCTCAAAGCATTGCCGTGATGGACGATTCGTCATTAATTAACAAGCTTAGAGGATATTTACAACTAGAACGGTATTTAGTTGTATTTGATGATGTATGGGAAGTTGGCTTCTGGGGAGATGTGGAGCACGCCTTGCTAGATAACGATAATGGGAGTAGAATATTGATCACTACAAGAAATGAGGATGTTGCTACTTTTTGCAGGAGATCTTCATTGGTTCATGTCCATCAGATGGAACCTCTACCTCAACAGGAGTCGTGGGAACTGTTTTGCAAGAAAGCATTCAAGTTTGAGTTTGAAGGGAAATGTCCGAAAGATTTGGAGGAATTGTCCCACAACATTGTTCGAAGATGTGGAGGACTGCCACTGGCAATTGTGGCTGTTGGTGGACTTTTAGCATCCAAAGAAAAGGTGGTCCTAGAATGGAAAAAAATTGCTCGATAGTCTTGGTTCTGCATTGACGAGTGATCCACATCTTGTTGATATCACAAAAATTCTCTCTCTCAGTTATGGTGATCTACCTCACAACCTCAAGTTTTGTTTCTTATACTTTGGCATGTTTCCAGAGGATTTTTCCATTGGACGTAAAAGACTATTTCGGTTATGGATGGCGGAGGGTTTTGTACAAGAACAAAGAGGCAGGAGATCAGAAGAGGTAGCAGAAGAATACTTAACTAAACTTGTTCATCGAAATTTGGTGCAAGTTAATCTCAATGGAATGTCAAAGACATTTTCTGTTCATGATTTGGTACGTGAGGTCATTCTTTCCAACTCGGAGGAATTGGGTTTCTGTCATATTTCAACTGATTGCTCGACCCTTCAAGGCATAGCTCGACACCTTTCTATAATTAACAGGGAAGGTGACAATCCGAAGAGTAGGGTCAAGTCTCAAACACGCTCTCTTATGGTCTTCAGTAGAAAAGAGTTGCAAAAGCCCATAATTGATGCCATATTTGAAAAATGCAAGCTGTTGACCACATTGGATTTTGAAAGCTGTCCAATAAATTACATTCCCAAAAAATTGGGAAATTTGCTGCATCTGAAGTATCTCAACTTAAGAAATACCAAAGTCTCAAAACTTCCAAAATCAATTGGGAAGCTATAGAACTTAGAGTTCTTAGATGCGAGGGGTTCTTCAGTGAAGGAGTTGCGAGTTGAGATTAATAGATTTTCCAAATTGCGATATCTCTTGGGTTTATTGAAGATACATGGCAGCATTGAGCATTTAGAGTTCTTACAAGTACTAGATGTAGTTAGACTAGATGATAATCAAGGTTTGAGATTAATTAATGAGTTAAGAATGTTGAAGCAATTGAGAAAACTGGGGATTGTAAATTTTAAAAGAGACTATGGAAGGGATTTGTGCACTGCATTGGAGAGGATGACTCAACTGCGGTCACTATATCTGCGTGTAGTCAATGGGGATGAGATTCTTGAAGTGCATTCTGTGTCTTCTCCTCCTGCTCACCTTTAAACCCTCCTACTTTCTGGACGGTTAGAAAGGGTCCCTGATTGGGTTTCCCAACTAGAAAATCTAGTTGAATTGTGTTTGGGGTATTCAAGATTGAAGGATGGTTCGATAAAAGTTATTCAAGCTTTGCCTAATTTAAAATTTTTTCAGCTATTTGATGGATACAATGGAGAGAAGATTCATTTTGAAGAAGGAGGGTTTCAAAAGCTCAAGACGTTACTTCTTGCAAGGTTGAATGAGTTGAAAACGATGACAATAGACAAAGGAGCAATGCCTCTTATTGAATCACTAGCAATAGGACCTTGCCCACAATTGAAGGAGGTGCCCTCTGGAATTCAACACTTGAAACACCTCAACGAGCTATATTTTGCTGGGATGTCAAGTGAGTTCACACAAAGGTTGTCACGTGAACAAGGAGAAGACTACTGGATAGTGAAGAATGTACCAATTGTGAAGCAATACATTTGATCGTACACACTATTTATTTTAAGAAAGCAAAAATGAGTGATAGTTTTATAATAATTTGTGCTACTTCAACCCATGAAAAACAATATTTCTAATTTCATATAACTAGATTTGTGTTTTAAAAAACTTATTACGCACTTGTCTGATTTAATTTTCAATTTATTAATGACTTATATATATATATAAAAGCCTAAGT